CTTACCCAAACTACATATCCCCAACAAGGCAGCCTTACCGATGCTGTGTATTGTGTTTATGGGATAACAGAGGTGTGTATTTTCCCATACGCCTTGCCCAAAACGACTGATTGTCCGCTTAACAGCCTAGCCTGTAAACCACCATTGGTGATAGTGTTGTTTGAGAGCAGCTATTAAAGTCGCTGCGGCAAACGAGGTGGTGGCTGGCCAAATCATTTCTCGCTGTTTGTCTGTATTGCAAGTGTGGTCACTACGCGTCTGTATGCGTTCACTCCAGAAGCTGGGTAGTTTTTGGTCAACGCCACGGGGCTGCATTCACTTTAAATCGAGGACAATGGAGGGCATGGGAAACGTGTTTTTTTCAGCGATAATCCCATTTATTCAAAATAAGCGCGCAATTACACACTGAGATGCACTTACATATGTAACACGATAACACTCATGACTATAAACTGGTTTTATAATGTATACACCACAAACGGAGGTACGGTATTAAATATCATGAGAAGTATTTGAATCTCACTGTGGTCGTATTACAATCTAACTCTGCTCATATGCATGTGTAATGTACGTGCAAGCGAACCGGAGGTCGGATATGCGAACTCGTGGGGGGGGGGGGGTCTGTAGTGCAGGGGTAAAATCGCATGGAAATTATTAGAATAACACTGTGCTCGAATGTATGATATTTGTAAATGCGCATCGGGAGTCGCTAATGTGACTTTGGATAAGCATGATTAGAATTCCAGTACAACTATTACAATCGCATGGTCATATTAGAATCAGGATTGTGACTGCTAGATGAATGTTCCATCTCAATGACATCAAATAGCAATATTCAGTATGAATATGTAAAATAATCGCACAAACCCAATATTAGCCCGTGAGATAATGAATCGTTACAATTGTAATGACTCCAGACTCAGACTGCAGAGGGTTCTTTTATTTAGCCTTTAACGCGGTTTCAGACCCCAGGCGTCACGATATAGCAACGATGACGACGAAACAGCAACCAGCCAACACAGCCCCAAACCTCGTTCCTCCCCCTCTCTCATTCTCGGCGTGAACCTCCGCCCACACTTGGTCTCGCCTTCCCTTCTCGAACTCTCTCTATCTTGTTGTCACCACTTGTCCCTGAGTTGATGCACTGTCTTTACATCACCCACCTCTATGACCTCTACCTGACCCCGCCATGGGCGGAGCAACTTGGGGAATTTTACCGGTGGCACTTGTAGGCAATACACCATGCCCTGTCCCCCACTGCCCATGGAAGCACGTGCTCCCGCTGCCCCGAGTTCTTTTCATTAGCGGCTTGCGCTCTGGTAGGGAAATGTCTTCGTTAGGAATTGTTTTGCAACGTTCAGGTCCAGAATACCGAAGTATACCGGGGATCACCTGTACTTAAAAACACGTAAACTGATAACACTATAAACAATAACACTGAACATTAAACGTCTATAAACTATCAACTGGCTTAATAATTTATACCACCATAAACGGAGGTACGATATTTTAATCTCATTAGAAGTATTAAATCGCACTCTATACATATGTATGTAAATTATCTGTTAAATCGAACCGGGGGTCGGATATGTGAACTGTGGGGGGTACAGGGCAAGAATCGTATTAAATTTCGATTCAAAGCTTTCGTGACTGCAGGGATTTATCTTCTTGGTTCTTTCGGTAAAGTCACGTAGAAGGGAAGTAATAAAATAATACAAATAAAACATGATTAAAATTCAGCCACAACGCAAGCAGCCGTCCTCAGGTGAAGAACGAAACACCACCAAGCTTGGAGCGTATATTTAAGCTGGGTTGGAGGGGGGGAGGTGGGAAGAAGAGCGCCTTGACAAAATAATTTGCATATCAAGAGGATTTTAACATATTTATGGTAAATGCGTAGGAGGTGGGCGGGGGGTTTCAAAGTCATATTATGTCCGTGCATTATGCAGGACCAGTAGCATCAAGGGAGGGGATGGGGGT